TGTTGACTCTTTTTGTTGCAGGACCAGAGGCACACGTGCAAGTTGTGAATCAGAAAAGCAGTTTCTGTTTCACAGCAGGCATTGGTATTGTGTCATTGAAGGAATGGCATTAGTTAGGTACTACTAGATCATGAAGGGGACTTGTTTTCCAAAACCAGTTCTCTTCTTGCTAAATGCCTTACGGAACAAAGATGTAATCATTTTTTTTATAGTACAGAAACCACACTGAACTTCAAGGAACACTTCATAGTAGCCTGGCTGCAGGAAGAGGAGAAAGGGTTAAAGGACCAGAATTAATGAAACTGACCTTCCCTGGGCAATAGTGAGCGAGGGCCAAGTTGGATGTGTTACTTAAGAGGAGGGAGGTTGTCTGCGAGGAGTGAGGATTCTACAAGCTGCAGGCTGGATGGAGCTGTGGCTCATATTTCATGTGCCCTGTTGCTATGTGACTTAAATTAGTGGACAGTGATAATGGGTGACCTGCCTCTGAGTTTTGAAAGGCCTCCTGGGCACTCTGCACAGAACAACTCTGCTACTTAGCTCTACATCAAAGCATGTAATAATGCTCTGAACTTTAATGGTCAGGGAATTTCTCAGACTTGGGTGACTCAGTGAGGATAATGGTCCACACAAAAGTCAGGGAACAATTTTCTGTATCTTAGACTACTCTGATTCAGAAAATATGCAGGAATTTTATGTACTGTTTATCTTTAGCAGCTGTCATAGTCTTAGAAAATTCCCAACAGCATATGACATGGAAATAACCGAGATAATCAGTAAGCACACCCTGGATTTTAATTACATGTGGAACTTGTTGATCACTTACATGTTGAAGTAGCAGTAGAAAATGCTGCAAAAAGATAACGCTGTGGGCAAGCTGCTGCAACTGAGCTTGAGTCTATACCTTTTCATGTTCCCAGATGGCAGACCTGCATTTAAACTGCCATTCTGTCTCTGCAGTAAAAGTACTAGGAGTCAGTTTTACAGGCTGGCTTACTGCAGAGTAACATTTACAGTTCCTTATATCTGAATGAAACCTTCTGCACTCAATCTATGTGCATGTTAAAGGTTTGATCTTCACAGTACTGATTCATGATTAGTCCAGAGTAGAGCTGTAAAGGTAACTGCATTTCTGTGTTACAGTTGAAGGATGTGGAACTGAGCACAATCTGCCTAGTATCAGACACAGATTAAGAAGGGGTTTTGCCCTACTTAAGGTTTGCTTCTAGTCAAGTTGACATAGGTTGTAATAATCACCTGATAGTCCTTCTGAGCTGGAACTGGATGTGAAATGTTTCTAGCTAAGAACAGATGTTATGCAGTCAAAGCTGTAGGGACTGTCAGCATGTGGTCTAACGGCCTGGTTGTACCTCTTGGGGTATGCAACATGCTGTTGTCGTAGTAGCATCTGCTGGTGCTGTGAAAGGTAAGGTACAAATAGGAAAAAAACGAAGAGAGGTAATGAAACCTAGACCTGGAAGGGAAGGTTACTGGCCAGCTGGCTTGAAAATTAAGTGGTGCTTTGTTATCGGTACAGTGATTCTATGAGCAAGTGAAGGCACAGGGAATGCCATAACCAAATGGGTCACATTAGATTATTCATTTGCCTTCATGGCCCCTTCAGGAGAAAAAGGAGCGTCAGAAGTATGACTTGTTCCATACGCATCTGCCATTTCCTTTGCAGTAATAGATGAAAATTGGGTGGTTTGCTTGGGGACTTTGCTTATAGTTGAGTGGAATTAAGCCCTGAGCAGGGAGGGAATTGTCGCTTGGAGTTGCCTCCTATCACTTGCAAACAGCTGCCAGTCTAGTCCTTTTCTAAATCCTTAAGCTTGGTCCTTGTAGCACTTAGATAGGACTGAAAACAGGTTGGTCGGACGAGTATGAGATGGATTTACATGCTCAGAACAGTAATAAACATGGGGAGGCAATATGCATGCTGCTTCAGCTTCCTTCCATTTAACCTGTGCTTTGCAATGCTTGGCCAGTAATTACCATGAATTCTTTGTATATGAAGATTGTAGCATATTCTACGTTACATGCCAGCAGTTACTAATAAATGTACTAAGCCCTTATATTTTTCAGTCTTTGCCTAGTTCTCAAATGCACTTGACTATAGGAATGTAATTTTTGTCCCTAGTGTCTGTTCTTTCACCCGTGACATGTTATGAAGCTGATAGTTTTGTCCAGCTTCCCTTCCATGCTAGGCATGTCCAGCACATGCTGAGTAAGAATTAATGGTAGGTGCATGTAACGCTGGGTTGTGAAAGTAATTCTTGTTCTTTATTACTTACCATGTCCCTGAACACACTGGGCTGTGCATAAACTTCGTATGGAAAGAGGCACAGCTCTGCTGCATAGATTTATTGAAGGAACTTCCCTAGGTAACTTGTTTCTCAAGCTGCAGCTGGGTAACACCCTGAATACTGTCTTCAGCTTGTTTTTGGGGGTAGGGGTAGGTTGCATAACGCCAACCATTGCTCGGGTGTTTGGTAAGGCTACACCCAGCTTAGCAAGGAGAGCAAGTAACATACAAGTATTGAATTTGGTTAGTTTCTCGTCTTAGAAAAATGAAGCTTTGTTTTGAAGTGTCACGAAAGCAGGCATCTGAATACTTGCCTGACAAATGTGATAGAAGAGCTATCAGCTTTCTCTCGATGTACTGTCATTACCAGTGCGCAGCTTTGCTTTTTCACTGCCTAAGCAATGAAGTGTTTTATTACCTGAGCTGGTTCGTTTCCAGATGTATGGGAATTTAAGCCCAAATGGTTCTCCATTTTGGCTCTCGTGAGGAGGAACGTTTTCTAGTGACCTCGGGGTTTCAGTCCTGCAAATTGGAATTTTGCAATTCCTCAGCCAGGAGTCACCTTTGGCAAATGATGCTCTCACCATGCTGCCTTGCTTAGGAATAGTGGAAAAGGGTAGTTGAGCTGGGTTTGTAACTGCTCAGTGCTACACCTGTGGAAGCCCAGGGCTAGTTTTCGCTGCAAATGTCTATCACCTAGGTACTCTTAAACTTTGTGCTTGAAGTTAGAGATGGCAAGGTTCCCTGCACATCTTTTGTAAGGTAACATTATCAATGTAGTTCTTCAAAAAGTACCAGCCATTTATTGTTAGAGACAGAACTTGCATCTTTCCTTGCTGGAGGGATGTGTGTACAAACAGGCGGCATCTGTTGGGCAGGCTAATGGTCTGTTTAATAGTTTATATAGTTCATATAGTTTACGAGATAATAAAACAAGTGGGTAGAATGTTTCCATGGATGGGCCTGACCATTTCAGTTGCCCAGAAACTGTGGTAGCAGCTTTTTTTTTTTTTTTTTTAATGAGTTTTAGCTGTAACTGGCAGAGGATTTGTTCAGTTACTTGGGGACCTAAGTCTACAGTGTACTCCTTAGTGGGAGAAAATACGCAGTCAAAGGGCAACTTTACAAAGGGAGAAGCAGAGGGTTTGCATTCCTTTATGCTCAGCAAGTCAGACTCGATTTTGAGATTTGAATTATTATAACGGATATATCACCCAGAAGACATACTTGATGGGACCATCTCAGCATTCCTTATTGAACAAAGTGCAGGGTGTTCCTCTCGCTGCTGATGTTTAGAGCTCCTGTGAGATAATGGGATCACAATGGGTGCAAGGAGGCTGCGCTGGCTGTTACCTTCTGCTTGCTGAGGTCTTCCAGCAAGCCACCTCCTACAGCCAGATAATTGCAAGTAATTACAAAATAGCACCCTGTGTGTGTGTGTGTGTCTCCGGAGCGTCCACTTTTTAACTGGAAGCAATATGACTGTCATTATCTGCTGGAGATAATTATCTTGTAGGTACAGCAAAATTCTGCCCTGGTTGCTGTAAATCACTGGTGAAAAGCAAAGAGGCAGGGAAGGAACTGGCAGCTCAAGCACTCGTAGCTGTTGAAGAGCTGGGTTGTACCGATCAGGTGGTTTCTCACATGTCATTATTTTTCTTTGAGGTGATATTCTAATAAAAAATGATTTTTTTGTGTGCCCACTCTAATAGTGCGATACCAAAACTGAAAATGAAGTTATAAGGAGCAGAAGTGTCTAAAAAAGGAGGACTTCTCTAATGACATTTGAGGACAAATGTACGTGATTTCTGAGTTTCTCTATGACCTAGTTGTTTTCGAATCAGGTCAGCATCACTGGCTGGCCCAAAAATTCTCTTTTGACAGAGAAGTACAGCAACTGGATGATGATGACATTTGCTGTCATCTGGCTGAAGTGACAAGCTGTCCCTATGTAGGGTTTGTGCAGGTCTGGGGTAAAAGTGTGTGAAACGCGATCATTTCATCTCTGCAGTTGTGTCATGATACTTGTCCTGGGGAGAAATGACACAAGGCTTTCTGAGCAGCTCTCAGGGCTTGTTCTACACAAGGGATGGAAGTCAATGAGGTCCTAAAAGTTCATAGCAGGATTACCGCCATAACTAGGAGAAGGATGAATATTAAAACAAGTAGGAGAACTATTAGAGCAGTCATGCATCATTTTGGTGTATTTCCTCCATCTTCCTGGAAATCATTCTTGGTTGTTGAACACTGCCCATACTGCTTGCTGCAGTTGTGAATTACCTGAAATCAATAACAGGGGGGACCCGTTGCTGTCAACTTTAGCCTTTGACAACCCTTATGCTAAGAGATTGCTTCTGTTCATTGCATCTGTGTGAGACTAACAAGGGATTGTAATTGCTGAGTGACATGGCTGTGAAAGGACCTCTTTTTTTCTAGCCTTCACGCAGGCAGTAACTTGTTCTTAGTACAGGTGTATAGAGACCATTTTTAAAAATTACATGTTGCATGCATAAATGTTCTCTTAGGAGCTAACTTTTTCACCTGCATTATTAGCATCATTACGACCTGATGCACGGCAGAGCTCATTTAATTGGCAGAGCTATTGCTTTGCTGCTTTCTTTTGGAAGAGAATTGTGTTTTGCAAGTGTCTTAAGCTTGGAGTGAACTTCCAAAACTTTGATGCTGTGTCCCATTG